GGCGCCGCCGCCGCCGCCGCGTTTGTTTCCGCAGCTGCAAACGACGTCGAACTGGAGGAAATCTGCTGACTCGCGCGCCACGAGCCTCAAGTTGGCTTTTCCCACCGCCGCTTCCGGTGCGCCGACCAATCAGAAGGCTACTTCGGTCGCCCGGAGGCCCTGCCCGCTCACAGGCAGGGTCCTTTGTTTGGGAAGATTTAAAAAAGATGGGTAGAATCACTTTTAGAAGCAGGTGAACTGGACATTAAAATGTCTTTGAACAACTTTGCAAGAAACGCTTTTGTGTCTCCTGATCATCGGTTCACTCGCGGACGCCGCCGCTCCGACCGGTTTCCCCGATATTCCAGGCCGCCCCCGGGCACGGCCCAGCGAATTGCCCCGCGACCGCGGCCGAATCCCGGCCACGGACGAGCGCGCGTTGGCCACACACGACGGCGGGAATATGCACAAACGTGTTTAATGCGGATTTCCAGCATAGCGGAATAAATATGTCATCAAAGTTTCCAAAAATATTCTCTTCCTTCTGATGTAATAAAAGCAAAGAAAAGATGGCTGAGGCGTTGTCTGCATAGTCAAACGGTGACCTTCGACCTGACGGTCACGGCGGGAACGGAGGAGTCCCTTCCCCATCACGTCAGAGGTCAGAGTCGTAGCCGGCGCTCGGGTCAGAGCCGAGGAAAGGCTCCGCCTCCAACTCCAGGAGCGACGGCAGGTCAGCCCCGCCCTCGCCGACCGGCTCGAAAATCTGCACGGGCGTGTACTGCACCAGCTGCTTTCCTGCACCAATCACAGACAACCCCCACAAAGGCTCAGCGTCGCCTTGCATCCGGACCTCGACTGACGAGTCGCGAGCTCGGTCGCGACCGCATCTATCCGTACAGCCGACCGACGTCGCCCCTTTGGAGGGAAACCGAAGCCAAAGGTGTTTTGTGCAAGGGAACGGCTTCGTCCGCTCCCACGACTTGAAATGCCAACGCAGCTCTGATGCGGGGGATGGATTCGAGGGCTTCGAGGTCGTTCATCGTCTCGGGTTGCACCGTGTGGGGCGACGTCACGCCCCCTGCTGGCCACCGAAATTCACGGCGGAGCGACCGCCCTGGAGCGCGCGGTCGGCTCGTTGCGGAAGATCAACGCCGGCGAAGTCGGCGAGCGACCGAGGCGACTGGCCGCCCACCCCCGTCCTTCAAGCACATTTTGGCCAGTCTGGCTTCGGGGTGGCCGCGGCTCTCCAATTTGGGGGGCGGCGGGGGATGTTCGAGGGGCAGCGCGTATCCGAAGCCCGCTCCAAGCTCAAATTGGGGCTCTCGTCCCAAAGGAAACTCGTAACTTGGCGTGGACTCGTAGGCCGGAAAAGCCCAAGGTTGCCGGCGGCGCTCTCGTCAGGCAAGGTCCGACGCGCTCTCGTTGGCGGGGCCTCGGTAGAATATACTTCACGGCTCGGCGGTGACGTGTGCGTGCGTGCGTGCGTGCGTGCGTGCGTGCGTGCGCTTTTACCGGCGTGTTTGATTGCGCGCATTTTTCTGATTGTGTGATTGGTAGAGTTTGAATGTTTTTTTTATTTTATTTTTTTTGTACTTGCGTTATGCCAGCGCTGCACGTTTGCGACAGAACCTGATTGGTGGGACCACCGTGGCAGATGAAACTTGATGGACTGCAGGCTTTCTAAGC